TTGAGTTTGTGAGAAGGAAAATTATCAGTTTACTGGACAAAATGTTTATAAGATAATTTTAGCATTGTACAAAAAATATGTATGGTGTGAGTCCTATGTAAAACTTATGGGGATGTAGACGTGAATCCTTATAAAATGCGTACAATTGTTGACTGTAGAACGCTTATGTAATTTCTTTCACAATTTGTATTAATATAATTAACCACCGTTAACAAAACTATAATTGTTTTATATCATCGATACACATTGATAGTTATCTATAAGGTTTAAAACTAATATATAGTTACAAATAAATAAATATATCGATATATACTGATCTATTATTAAAGTTTAAAACTAATCAATTTTCTTCAATTACAAAATTGAAGTAATAGTCGATGATGAAAATTATTATGATTTAAATTTGTTTAGTTTCAGTGTATTTTTAAGAAGGAAAATTGTAAGAAAAAAATAAATTCGTTTAGATTAAGTATTTAAGTAAAAAAAAAGGAAAATTATGATTTAACATATGTCATAATCTTAGATATGTAATTGCCACATGTCACAATCATGTTAAAATAAAAATCTTTTTAATGATTGTTTCTTTTTCATGTCTATTAAAACATGTACTAATACAATATATTTTCATAAAAGATTATTCATACAATCGAGATTTTAAAACGTAATTTTTCTAAAAAACATATATTTTTGTGGCTACAAGAATCATTACAGGATAAAATTTCATAAGGTATTAATAGTTTTATTACCTCTAAATTAGATGATAAAATGCTGATATATAATGTTTTCTATTACCTATACTACTAAGATTATTTGCAATTCACTTATAGATTCATCTATAAATTTTGTTCTAAAATAGAGAAATTCTATTACCAAAGTATATAAATGATAAAAGCACAGAAAAATCGAGACCTTACAATGACAACACAAACATTACTAAATTACAATTGAAACTTCATAATATGTTTAAGTAAGAAGAATAAAAGCAAATTAATAAAGACAAAACTAAGAGTTTAATAAAGTATATTCCATTATCATATACTTGATTGGCTTGATTCACCTTTCAAATTCTTTGTATTCCACTCTAATTTACATTTCTTTAGATTGCGTTTAATTTGAACTTTCGGGTCTTGCTTATTTTCTCTAGCTCTACGTATATGTGCCATGATTATTGAATTAAAGTTTAACCAAAACTTATGTAAAAAAAACCGAATTTTGATTCCTAAAATGAATTCAACACACCATATATAAAAACATTCAATTTCAATAAAAAAAAATTTCTTATTTTTATCTTTTTTTCTTAAACTTATAAAACATTAATCAAAACCCGTGCAATGCACGGGTCCATATCTAGTTATATATAGGTGTTGCGTATCTATATAGAGAGAAAAAAATTCTTCATCAACGAAACTTATTATTTTATACACCATTGCTGTTTTGCATAAAACATCAAACTCTAGCATGATATTTTGTTTTTTCTGTTTTTTTTGTAAAAGATGATTTTTTTGTAACTGAAAAATGATATTTTGTTACTATGTATTATTTTGTTTTCATATACCATGCATTTTCTGTCTTGTGTTTAGATTACCAAAATACAACTTCGAATATTGACTTAATACTTGAGGTAGATACATTTTTAGCATAGATTGAATGAATCATTTTTGTTTTTGTATCCGTTTTCAACTGAGATGTAAAACATGTGATTCTAGAATTCATTAGCATATGGTGCAGATAGAATACGATACTTGATGAAATAGATATGTATACAGTGACATGACTTATCAGGTGCTGACGATTAACTAATTGTCGAATCATATACCGAGTTGACTATCTCTCTGGTCGGACATAAGTTCATGTTTACGAGAATATGATGTGCTCGTTGCTAACAAAGTAATGCATATGCTTTTATTCTACTACATCTAACAGTTGACTTCCATATACAAGTCTAGTTTCTCTATTTTGGTGAATGGAATATTTGTATACGTCAAAGTGAGGAAAAAATAAAAACTTATCTGTAGAAATATGCAGGACAACACGTCACATGGAAATCATGCAGTTATATTCTCTATTTTTTGAACTTTTAGTTATACTTATTCGATTGATCGTTACTTACAAAGTAATGTATATGCGAGATGATCATCTAACATGAGTGTTGTTTCACCTAACATATTTGGTCATAGTGAAATCCGCAATGTTAAAAAGGTACGTAACTCTCAGATTAAGGTGAACTACTATAAATCGTGTGTATAATCCTTTTTTTCTCTTCTATTTGACTAATGTATCTTCTAATTATTTAGTATTAAATTATTTTTATAAGAGTGTGGATTTGGGATCCAAATCAATACTAAGTTGACGATGCTGCCCGACATATATTTCTTTTTATTCTTACAAGCCGATGCGTATATCTTTTTGATTAAAAATGTAACTATTTATTTTGGAAATAGAATTATATATAGAGAAATTGTATACACCACCTGGTATATATATAAGTATATATACTAATATATTTATATAAATATATGCATGGTGGTTTGTTGTCTCTGTGTATATATGTGTACCACTAAGTGCGAATAAAAGGTACATAAGAACATCAAACTTCAAAATGCATCTTAGTGGAATTTCATACACCCACTAATCTTTTGGCATTATTGTCGACTTTTAGCCTTTTGTGAGTGTTTAGTTGGTTTTTGTTTTAGGTGCAGTATATGCTTATGTATCGTCATTTGTAAGTGCATCAGAATATATCATCCGCTTTAAACATCAACTTTATAAACTTATCTTCTCTCTAATCTATATCGTCAATGTTCTTTAACAATAAGAAATTACTAATAAACAAAACGTTTATAGATTTATATTAACATTTCTCCCTTATGAGGTCTCTCGTTCAAATACCTGAATAAATAATGATTATGAGTTATATTTTTTTGAATGAAACAAAAGAAAGGTCTACAGATATTGAGTTTTTTGAACCGACCCGTTAGGCGTGTATTAGATAATATGATTATGATTTATATTCAAGGTTAACGAAACAGAAAAGGGTCTTCAGATATTGAGCTTTTTTAAAACCGACCTGTTAGGCATATAACACGATTCAATATATTATATTAAGCTAAGCAGCAAATCCAATAGAAGACAAATATTTGTAGTCTTGGGAGCTGGCATATAAATCAAGCGAATTTGAACAGAAGTTTTTTTTATATAATTAAAGCCAAAAAAAGTAATTGTATATAGACTTGTTTCATTATTTTTATACAAAACAACAAAACCACCCTTATAACATGTAAACTTATATATGAAAGTCCGTGATTTGTTTGTATCATTTTTGGACCATATGTATAGAGTACAAATAGGGCATTTAATCAAATTGTATCCTAACTATATATACAACCATAACCCAAATATGCGATAACATAAATTTTCTCATAGATATAACCAATTTAATACCCTTTTGTAGTCGAGGTAGGTGGTTCTGATTACGAGCATGTGATGGCATCAACCAAATACGTCTATGTACGCTCAGCTTCAACTATGTACAGGTGGTGTGTGTTATCGTTATAAAAGCCAAGAAATGAAATTTTATCTGCAAGAACCTCGAAGTGGACCTTCTTAATTAGTTATGTTGTTGACTACTTTGTCCAGTATGCATCGAAATATGCGAGAAGTCTGGTGACTGGTGAGCGCACAGTAAACAGTATGATTCTGTATATGGTTTTGTTTATTTAGAAAACTAAGATACAGTGTCACCGCATCCCCATTAACTGGAATGCTACAAACATTACATTCATTTTACTTACTAAATCATCAGACATCGCCAAAGAACATCATCATCCACTGTAACTCACTTCTTACTGATTCTAAAATCATCTGTGGTTTTATTGTCTTCAAAGAACCCAAACCAATCTTGGCTCTCGAGAGTGAATAAATCAAGAAGCTGGTTGCACCCCGTGCCATGCACGTGGGTCATCAGAAAGTTCATTGATCCTGTAGTTACGGCTTTCTTGTACGTATGCTACACCAGCCCAAAGTCCTCGTATAAGTAGAATGCTCGTAAATACAATAGTCCCCAGTGTACAAGCTACCTGCATTCCACCATTAAAAATAACATTACAAGCCAATAATTCAACATGAAAATCTATCAGCAAAACTTTACGCTAGGTAACACAACGATGGTATGCCTTGAACACACCCATAGTATTCAAATACAGAGAGTCAAGCCTTGCACGGTATATGAAAATGAATTGATCCAAATACATATCAATCGGTAAATGAAATATAGAAGGGAATGTTAAGTAATGAGAGATCCCTTCTTTTTGTGTGACGCATTATTAGTCTCTTCCATGCTGATATGGGTGAGTAGATGAAAAGCTAAACCTTTTTGAAAAGTAAATGTAAGTGTTCTTGCATTTTTTATTTATTTGTGAAGTGCCGAAAGTACACTGAGTGATTGCTAAACCTAGTTCATCCCGTTCTAGTCGCTGAAACTTTTTAACTTAGCTTTGGAGGATTGAACTAAAAGTTTTGAGGGGGTATAGGGTGAGTATTGTGATGATTTATTGTGCAGTTTCTTTGTGTGTTTGTTTTCTTTTTTCTTATAACTCCCTTTTCTGAAAATTTTGCTTTCATATAGGATTTTGGAAATGGAGACAAACGGAACCATAGATAATGCTTTGAATTGGAATCAAAAGAAGAGAAGTATTGTAGAGAGCAAAAAGTGAGACAATGTAGTGTCTAAGAGGAGGAGGCCTGCGAGCTGCCGCATGCACCGATTTCAAGGAAGAGTATGTACGTATCTCTGAAAAACCTTGTAATGTAACCCTTAGGATTGTTGGTGTCACAGAGAGAAAAACTTTGATGTTGGATGAAAAGTATATGAAATCTCTGAAGCGACTCAGAAGCTCGGCCTCTGGTTCAAATAAGTTGTACATTAAGATCGATGAAGATGAGATTGTGAACTATTACTCTTGTCAATCATAATACAAGAACTCCCAAGAAGAAACAGATGAGCGTATACTTTATGATCCTTATGACGATAAGGTTGATACCTGGCAACTTCCTCGCATGATGCTTCACAATTGGGCTCTTTACAACGTTGATTCAAGGTTGATATCCTTGGAGCTTCTTCCGATGAAGACTTGTGATGATATTGATGTTACCATCTTTGGGTCTAGTTGTTTGAACCGAAAGTTTCATCATCTTCAGTCAAACAACCAGACCCAAAGATGGTAACATCAATATCAGCACAAGTCTTCATCGGAAGAAGCTCCAAGGATATCAATCTTGAATCAACGTTGTAAAGAGCCCAATTGTGAAACATCATGCGAGGAAGTTGTCAGGTATCAACCTGATCGTCACTAGGATCATAAAGTATACGCTCATCTGTTTCTTTTTGGGAGTTTTTCTTGTAGTATGATTGACGAGAATATTAGTTCACAATCTCATCTTCATTTGTACAACATATTTGAACCAGAGGCTGAGTTCTGAGTCACTTCAGAGATTTCCTATACTCTTAATTCAACATCAACATTTTCTCTCTGCGACACCACCAATCCTCAGAGTTAGATTACAAGGTTTTTCGGAGATACGTACATACTCTTCCTTGAAATCGGTGCATCCGGCAGCTCGCTTCGGCCTCCTCCTCCTAGACACTACAACGTCTAACTTTTTTGCTCTTTGGAATACTTCTCTTCTTTCGATTCCAATTCCAATTCTAAGCATTATATGTGGTTCCGTTTTTCTCCATTTCTAAAATCCTATATGTAGAAAAATTTACAGAAGTGAGAGTTGTAAGAAAAGAGAAAATAGACACACAAAGAAACCGCACAATAAATCATCACAATACTCACCCTATACCCCCTGGAAACTTTTAGTTCGATCCTCCAAAGCTAAGTTAAAAAGTTCCAGCGACTAGAACGGGATGAACTAGGTTTAGCAATCACTCACAATACTTTCGGCACTACACAAATATATATAAGAAAATGCAAGAACACTGAGTTCATATCACTTACTCTAGTCATGAGATAAGCGATGTTTAATTTGGTTCAATAACATTTTCACATTTCGTTGAACACTCTTAGCATTGAGTTTGTACTTTTTGTATTTGCCATATAAAACTAGATTCACTGCAACAACTCTTTAACACTACCCAACTGCTCTTAAGCTTGATGCTAGCCTCTCTAGTCAAAGATTATGATAGTTACCAGGATACATGCTCCTGTCATATTCAATGAATCCGAAAACCTAGATATAGCAATCAACTATAAGGCAACAAAACAATCCACCCCAGGACTAAAGAATCTAAAGCATGGTAATAACATGGTATAGTGTTCCAAATTTCAATTACTCTAAACAAAATCCAAAAGAAAAAATGGATTTAAATTTAACAGTTTATTATTTACCTCAAGAAAGGCCTTCAAGATCCACAGAAACGCAAGTATAAGTACACCGTTCACTGAGAAACCCACCTGTACTAAAACAAAACTATCAACATATGAAAAAAATAACATAGTTATCATCATCAATGTAAAAATCTAAAAAGGCCGAGACGTTACGAGTTTGGTGGAGATGGAAACAGGCAAAACAGATCGTACGGCTCTCCTTGCTCTCTTGGAAACTTTTCTAAACACATTCTCAACGAACCTAAGTAAAAGATCTAAGCTTCTATCTTCTTCTTCTTCCTCTTCTTCCTCGTCATCTTCATCTTCTTCATCGAAACCATACTTCTCCGGTTTGATCTTCCGGTTCCAGCTCCGATCACCGTCTACGAACTCATCTCTCCTTCCCTGTTGAAACCAAGAAAACAGTTCAGAGACTGGATCGTGTTATATATACACAAGTAGATGAAAAGGAAAGTGGATTTTACGTTGATGAAATCGCGGGGTCGCCGGGAAGCGTAAAGGGAAGTCGAAGGGGTTGTGGTTGTGGTCCTTGTGGAGGTGATTAGGGTTTTGGGAGTGGAGATGAAGAAGGAGAGAGGCGATCGTGATCGGGTTGTTGAGAGAGGAGTGAGAGAAAACGGCGATGATATTGATGCGGACAATGGCATTGTTCGTTACGCATCAAGACAAGACAGTTCTGTTTTTTTTCTTCCTCGTCTTCCGTTTTGTAATAGAACGTTTTACTTTTTTTCGTTTAGTTTGGGCCCAGAAACAATCAGGCCTATTGGGTTTGGTTAATGAGTATTCGCGTAAATATTGTATCCAACGTGACCCTCGTGTTATCAATACTTCCAAACGATAGAAGTTCTAGAAACACAAAAAAAAAAAAAAAGTTCAAGAAACACAAAAATAATTTTTAAAGCTTTCTAGACACTATTGATTAAAGTAATTGGAAACTTAAAAATCGAAAAATCAGTGCATTTATGATAAAAGTGACAGTTGATGTTTTTTTAAAATATGAATGAAAACACTACAAAATATCCATGTTCGGGAACGCACTAGAATCTAGTCAGGCGGTACGGTTGAGCCTAGCGGCTAAAGAGAAAATCGGAGATTAAGCAGGGATTATACATGACAGAATTTTTAGACTATTTGATATGTTATAAATATGTTAATCTTTAATTGTGTATAACATTATTACATTTGTGTTTAGAATCTTATAAACACACACAAATAGAATATATAAAATTAATATGATATAATTTTCATTAAAATTATAATTATAAGTTATATTTATTAAATTTTAAATCAAATAAATAGATAAAAATATTATTAAAAAGAAAAAAAAATAGATTAGGCGTCCGCCTAGGTGATTAGGCAGTCATTTATGTGGGATAAAATCGGACAACCAATTTTCTACAGCGATTAAACATAAATAGGAATGGAAGAGGGTTACTTAGCGTTTAGGCGCGGCCACCTAAACGGTTAGACGGCCGATTTTTAGAAGAGCAAAATATCTTTCAAAAACAGAGAGATGTATAAATAGTGTTAAAATTATAGTTTGTTTTGACGTAACAAAATGCACCCATGACAGAAAAATTGCAATTGAAGTGTTGTAAACCAAGAGTTACATAAGGGAGGCTACAAGGAAAAGCTCATTTGTGGCGAAATTACAAATCAAAAGAGAAAAGATTCAGATCCATTGGAGATATGTGAGAACCTTTCTTTGGTTCGATCTCTTCATTTTTGGGTTCCTTTTATAACACTTTTTTTTCGCTTAAGCCCTTCCTTTCTTTCACAATGTACTTGAATCCATGAAAGCTTCCAAATAGTTGCTCTTCATTTCGATCTTCACACTAAAACCACCTGCTAAGTATAACGTTTTAGTCAGAATTGAATATATACACACACACACTTGGTAGAGTGAGAGTAAACAAGTAGTTAACATCTATATATAATATATACTTATTTTACTTAACTGGTTATTTAGAATCTTGTTTCCATTTTCAAATAACCATATTGTTCTTGGAATGCTGCTTTCTTCTACTTGTTGACAAACAAACACACCTAGTGAGTCTCTTGTACTCAACAGAATCTCAATGAAAGAAGAGAAGAGAGAGGGAGAAACCTGAATGTGAGTTGCCGAGAAGCCTTGCGAATAATCCAAAGTACTTTCTTGAAAGGTTTGCTCTATCTTATTACCACCCATACTTTTCTGCATCATTTACAACATATTAACAAAAGATAAACGATAAAATCAAAAGACCCTCTCATTCAAAAGTCTTTGTGTTTTAACATTGCTATGTCTTAGCTAATGATGGACTTCTTTGTGATGTAAACTGATCTTTGTACTCTAAGAGAAAGATTTATAACTAATGGATTATTGTCACTAGTTTTATAGAATTTCTTTGAAAATAAAAGACTTACATGAGAACTAGCAGTATCATCAAGAACCGAGTTTATCTTTTCACTATCTCTTCTTTTCTTTTCACTCTTGTTCTGTTTCTTGGGACCAACACTGTTTAACTTTTTCACAGAATCTTCCTCACATATATTCCTTGGGCCAGAAGATGCATCTGACATCATCGACAAATCTTCTTCGTCATCTTCTTCTTGATGCACATAGTTTTGGCTCCAGGAATCTTTGCTTCTTCTTTGTTTACAAGAAGAACTCGGAGAAGAAGAGACAGAATGGTCTAAGTACAAAGTCCATCCTGACTCGCACCCACTACTCCACTCTGATGAACCCAACATTTTCCTTCTTTTTATTGTGTTTATAAGAGAAAATAACTCTTTCTTTTTTTGGGTTCTTGAGATTGAAGAAAAAGATTTAGAGAAAAACTGTGGGTGAAGTGTATCGACTTGATTTATACACATGCATTCATATCTCTCCATGTGTAATGTCCTTTGTATTTCATTGTTTAGTCTTATTCAATTTGTTGGTCCTATCTTCAATAAGTACGGAGTATATCGTATTTTAACTTATTAGCATCGTCTCCTACTTCATATGCCTATTAATTTTCAAACGTTAGGTTGGTCTAATAATGTTGGCTCTTGTTTTGTCGTTAGTTATATGAACGAAATAACTTGTGTAGATAGCTAATGGATAAGTCGGCGTTATTTAGGCACACACACACTCAAGCGTTCTTTTCAAGTTTGTAACATGTGAACTAGATTTAGATTGTATAATTAATAAAATTCTGTTTACTTTGTTACTCTTCTCTTACAATGCCAGTATGTAACATGGGAATGACATGCAGCGCAGCGTTCGTGGCCAGACATTTCTCATTTGATCCAAATATATAAAACCAGACTTGCTCATTTATACATTTCAGCATAAAAATAAACGAACGACGCATATCTAACTTACCTAGACTTGAATATTCAAATGCTTGATTTATTTTAATTGTCGTACGAATAGAAAGTTTGCACGTGACATATTCTCCGAAACTAGCATAGAGGAGATAAACGCCTATTAGTCGAACATTAAATGTTTATAATGGCTATGTATTTAGGTTTAAGTTATAGTATTAGTGAGACTAATTATAGATGGTGCATGGGTCAAAGCAACTTCGACAGACAAGTGGTGACAAACAAGATCCGAGCGGTCTATTGACTACGCTTTTATGATATCACATGCCCTCACATTTTGTTTTCCATTTTTAATTCCTTTTCGTATTTGCTAAATAAATTCCTACAAGTCGAAAAAGACTCATCCTAATTAGCTGTAAGTAATTATCTATCTTTTCTGTTCCTTTTCGTGTATGTTTGGCACTTTCTATGTCTGGGATAAAGAGATACTGCTATCTTTATATATGATTAAACTTTGAAAATATTAATAATTACAATTTTCCGGAATAGGTTTGTAAATATAATTTTAATAATCTTACTATCATATTCCCTTTTCAGATATTTTTCTTATATAAGAATTAATACACAGTTCGAAAAATGTGAGTACAGATATTTCATATGTTTTGGAAATGCATCCCTGTTTTGCCACACATGTCATGTAAGTTTAAAGATTGTAAGATAAGAAAATAAGAACAAAAGCAAAATAAATTTTCGCTTCATAATAGTTTAAGCGTTTAAGGAATTCTAATAGCTAGCTAGCAAAATCAGGCATGCATGTGAGCACGTGTGCACGTAAAAAAAGAAATACGCAAGGTTCAACAAATTCACACATGTTCTCACGTGCAAGAACACGCACTTCGACCAACTACACACTTTAGATGTGACACCTTCTGGTCCCTTTCTTAACATTTGCTGATAATTCCTATGCTCTCGATTTCAATGTCCCCTTCTCCATGTGTTCTCTTCGCTTTCTCACTTCCTTTCACATATGTGTATTTATCAGTTTATGTGTTTCAAATGAGTTGTAGATTTGTGTGTGTGTGTGTGACTTTACCTTGATAACAAGAAAACTAAATTTTATAGGAATGAAAACGTTTAAGTTCATGTGTGGTGTGGATTAAGATAACTCTGTTCTCCTTTTTAATGCGCTTTAGATTTATAATAGTTAAATAATCTATAAACTTTAGGCATTAATACTATTTTCATTGACTCAAAGAAGAAGACATTATGATTTTGTGATTGACTATACAAGTATTATTTCATCAATGATAATCTTGTAGATAGTAATAACTTTAAGCATTAATCACAACTCTAACCACCTGACGCTCACCCATCTCCTTAGTTACCTCCAAGCACAAACTGGTGGACAAGTTCTTGATCTGTGGATGACTTACATTCACGTTGTAAAGTCCATGCAACAACGAGACATCTTCCTCTTCGTTCTCAGCATCCACCGTGAAAATATTTGGAACCTCTGAATCTTTTTGTTGCCACTCCTTGAGCAACTTGTCAATTACATCTCCTGTCTCCGTGTTGTTAAAGTCCTTGTCCGCAAGTGTCAGCTTATCAAAACCAGACACCTCAGGTCCAGCAAATATTATGATGCCTTCCACAGCAGGATGCGAGTACGCTTCCCTGAGAATCTCTTCCATGTATTTTGCCTAAGGAGACCATTTTTTATGATTATGATAATGTTATATTAAGATGGAGAAAGGGTTTCTTGTTACACAAGGTAGTTGGTGGCATACCTGATTAGGGCATTTAGGCATATCAAGCTCTGTGATCCATACAGGCAAACCTAGTGAGCCTAAAGTATCCAATGCTGATCTCATGTAAGCTAAGTTAGGCTGAGTTGGACTAAAATGACCCTGAGCTCCAATTGCTCCTTTAATATTTTCGTTTCCTTGATAAGCAAGTATCTCCTCCATCTTCTCCTTCACCTTAAGTGGTGTTGCAGTTACCTCTTCAGGGTTCTCTATCGTGTTGTACTCGTTAACAAACAATGTCACATCAGGATCTAGCTTATGACCCAAGTTATAGAATCTTGATGAAGCGTTTGCGCCAAGCAATTTTTCAAAGTAATCCCAATGCAAATTCTCATTAACCACATCCCACCCGGTTAACTTACCTTTGTATCTCTTCATAACCGAGTTTATCCGGTTTAATGTCACATTCATCACCTCTTCAGGATCTTTTATCTTTGGCAACCAACTTGGTTGCATCTTTGGGTCGTCCCATAACACTGTATGACCTCTAACCAATATCTCATTCTCTTCAGCAAATTTCAGCATTGAATCTGCTGCCGTGTAGTTCTCCTGACCACGTACTTTCTCTGTTGTATACCATTTCATTTCATTCGTGAATGATGTGATTGCGAACCGTGACGCAAACCATTTTCTGTAGCCTTCACTTTGAAGGATCCGAAAATTCATTGCACAGCCTAAGAGGAAAGATGGTTTGGTTTGTTTTAGGGATATTACTGCGTCTTTTACCGCGGTTTTGTTCTTATAAGTAACTTCAAATCTCACTTTATTCTTCCTTATCTACAACCAACAAGAGTTTTATAAGAGCACACAAAAAAAGATCTGAAAGTTAAAGAAAATCTGAGCCAATGAGGATATACCTTTTCAATAAGTCGATCTTGTTTTAGTTTCCATTCTTCTTTGCTAAACTGTTTTAGTGACACATTTTTTGCATAGATCTTTGCTTCCCTATCTTCACTCTGTTTTCATTTAAAATCCAAAGAATATAAGTATGTATATATATATGAAAACACATGTATAGACTATAGTGTTTGTACCTCGAAGAATATATCTACAGGGCCTGAAACATTTGGTACAATGCCACCATTAAGCAAAGACCAACATCCTTGCTTTGCCCTAACTTCACCTCCATGAACAAGTTTTCCATTTTCTGACATGAACACAACTCCTACTTTCTTGTTGTTTCCTTCTCTCAACTTCACCCAAGCTGTATTTCCATACAAACAAAGAAACTCAATGTAAATAAACATAACCGGTCCAAACTCAAACCAAACTGTAAAAGACCTATTTGAACTTGTAATCAAAGTGGTTTAATAGGTTATACTTTTTATGTATCCGGAAATATAAAAAGAAGAAAATTAAACAAATTATCACTGAATATAGAAATATATGCTGATGTAACATCTACAAGAGACTAATTATACAAGAATCACTGGTTTGCAATAGTAACTTAGTAAACAAGAAACTATGAGATGATGGTTTGTTATATTATATTAACATACGAATAGGTTACATCTGTGTTACCAGAGAAGCTGTAAATGATTCCTTGCTGAAGCTGAATTCTCTGTGACATTTCTCTAATAGCTCCATTTCCATCTATCTCCCACTCTTGATCAGAGTCATCTTCAACAGATCGGCTAAGTAGTATTAATTCTTGTTTCCCACTGCTTCTTGGAGGCTTCGTTACACACTTTTTATATATAGACAATATTTAACCGATTTTAGAAATTTGAGTTTGCATTTGCAAAAATTAAAATCACTGCTTGTGACGCATCTCTTTTGAGGTTAATCATCAGTTTTGGTTACCTCTGTTTTGAGAGAGTGGCTATGGGAGAAAGGATCAATGGCTATCCCTGAATGCACAAAACACAAGAGAAGAACAAGCATGCAGAGGAAGAAGCCATTGTTGATATTTTTCATTTTTTTCCTGTAAAAAGATTAGAACATCACGACAAAACTCATATGTATAGAGCTTTGGGGTTGTCAGAATCTAACGTATTCTTACTCTCTCTTTTTTTCGTTTAAGAAACACATTTCTTGTACATTGATTTTAAGGTTCGTTACAAAGTTAGGCTTACGAATACGATCACCATCTTGAATTATATTTATATAAGATAACCATATATTGTTTTCTAATGACAAAAAAAAAAACAAACTTAAACTACACATTGTGAAACGAATATATGTAATAGGCTAATACGGTCAGCTTAAAACTAGAAGAACAGATACCACTTACCTTTCGAACGAGATGTCACTTACCTTTTAAGTAACAACATCCCAAAACTAAAAGCAAACAAAAAGTAACTATCCAAAACAATTCTCAAAGAAATAACAAAATTATAGAACCTTAAACGGGTAAATGGTAAAAGTACGTTTACCCACATACAATGAACATTATGTACAAAGGAGAGCAAGAAGTTGGATTTAACTTGTGGCTAAAATTAATTGCTGCCTCGTGAAACATTTTTGGAACCATGTCGAAGCACTTGTCGTGTGATAGAGAAATTGTTCTTTAGCCAAAAAAAAATTGAAAGCTAAGTAAAATACAATAGTTCGATATGGTTTTGTCAACAAAGCCGAGAAGTAGCTGATTCTATTCAACACCCTTTAACGAAAACAGTTTTTCCAACATTTTAAATAGGTCATAGTTAATAACTTTAATATTTATTAATAACACTAAACTTGAAAAATATTAATAAAAACTAATAAAGAACCCGTGTGATATCGTGATATCGCAGGAGACTCCTTTTATGAAAATAAATATACGATACTTTATAACTTGTATTTTTATAAAAATATGGTTTTTTTAACGAAGTATTTGCAACATATGTTCAATTTAGATTACATGTGTCTATATTCATTTATAGATGCTAATACAATTTTATATTGGTTTCACAATTTCATATTATAATTAAATTTAATATGCCAGTACTAATTTAAATATATATATATATATATAAAAAAAAGTTTGTAAGTTGCTTGAAATTATAAATGCAATTTAATATATTTAAAACTAATTAAAAGAAGCAAACACATTTAAATGTAATCATTTACTAAACTAATAAAAGTAAATTATAATGATGAGTATGACATTCATAATTTATTTGAAGTCATGTAAAAAATATATGTTTAGTTAAAATATGATTACATGAGAACGTTAAGAGATCTTTCCCATTAACATGTTCATTTGGCAAATTACACATGTATTTTTTTATTTGTATCTTTAATAAAACTAGCTGCATAACCCCCGCGCAAGCGCGGAGTCGGGATCTGTGTTTTTTTCGGTTGTTGGTTTAGTGTGTTATTCTAATATGGGCTTATTATCATATGGTTTAGTGTATTTTAGTTTTTTCGTTTGGATTATTATCATATGGGCTTTTTAGTTTTAATGTTTTAATGTTTTTTTTCTCTCGACTTATTGTTTAAAGCCCAAAATAGTGGAAAAATCTTAAAGTTTGACGAACTCAAACCCAAAAACAATTAAAAATGGATCAAAAAACAAACATCAAAAAAAAAAGAAAAAAAACGAGTCTCACGCGTCACTATCATGTCCTAATATATATTTTTACTGTTAGAACATATTTCCTAATATATATTTTCAAAAAATTATGTATGTGAAATAAAAGAAAAAATTAGTTTTGTTATTTATAAAATAACTATGTAATTTCTCTTCAATTTTTAATAGTTACTATAATTTCATTTTTATC